CACTGTCTTCCCTTGTGGTTACAGACAGCTGAGTCCCAAGACACACACCAGCAGCACATTTTCCTAACTGGGGAGTGATTTTTCCAACTCTGCAAGCAACATCTAAATGAAAAGGCAAGGACTGGCCCTGGACTGACGTGAGTCTCTTTCCAGGGCCTCCCCAGGTGAGGAGGGCCTGCGGGTTGGTCCCTTAACATCCCCCTCAGCATGGCTGCTGCTTTGTTGTCCTGCCCACATACAGATTTTTCTCGTCTCTGGGAGACTTTTGGCCAAATGCTGCAGCATCAAAACTCTGCTAGATTTGATTGGGCCTTAAAATAAATGTATTACACTAATCACGTGTGATTAATGTTGTAAAACAACCTGCCAGTGAAGGTTGGGGAGCTCAGGGGGCCTAGGGGACAAGGAGTTGAGCTGCCACGTTAAAGGCAACAGCTCTTCAGGGCAGCCTCTTCTCGCCCGAGTTACAGAGTCTGAAACCTGCGGACTCCATGGCTATGGGAGGTTTTTGGGGTTGGTTTTAGTTTCCTATGGATAACTGAACAAAAACCCAATGTGATTTGTAAATGTTCTTTTAAAAGTTAAATAGAAGTTTTGTTAGATCAAAACCTGCCATCTTGAAGGGTACATTTGTTTCTAGTCCTTCTGTGAGCACACAGCTGAAAACAAACAAAATCACCTCCCCCTCCCCCGAATCCCCTCCCGTGGCTTGCAGTTCAAGGCGGCCTTCCTTGGTTTCAGTGAGAAGGACTGAAGCCAGCTGTGGAGTCCTTCTCCTGCAGAGGAGCTGGTGGCTTAGAACGGCCGACGTTTGGGTTCACAATTTAACCTTCTGCCTGGCGGTTTTAAACCACAGATTGTTTTGTGGAAGAGGCAAAAGACCCCAGACTTAAGTTTTATCAAAACAAGCCAGACACCCCCACCCCACGCCCAGGGCCCATTGCAAACCAAAGTGCTACACTCTAAGCGGTGTGAACCCACCAGTGACTCCATGAGAAGACCGCTTCAGAAACCCAATCAAATGTCACTGTTGTTGTTTGGTGCTATTAAGTTGTATATAACTTATAGCGACCCTGTGACAACAGATCTGAGCCTTGTCCTATCCTGTGCCATCCTAAAAATATCTGACACAGTTGAGCCCAGTGCTGCGATCATTCTGTCAATCCATTTAGTCAAAGGTCTTTCTCCCTTTGGCTGCCTCTCCAAGCATGATGTCCCTCTCCGAGAAATACCCTCTCCTAGCAACGTGCCCAAAGTATGTGAGATGAAGCTTTAGCATCTTTGCCTCCAAGGAGCATCCTGGCTGCACTTTCTCTAATTTCTCTATTTGTTCTTTTGGCAGTTTATGGGATGTTCAGTCTTTTCTCCAACACCACAACTCAAAGGTGTCAACTCCTCTTCTGTCGTCCTTAGTCATTGTCTAGCTTTCAGACACATAACACGTGACTGAAAAGATCATAGCCTGAAGCAGGTGTATCCTAGTCTTCAAACGGATATCAGTTCTCTTTGGTAATTTGTAGAAGTCCCTGACAGAGACCTTACCAAATGAAATTCTTCTCTTGATCTCCTGTTGACACCAAGTGCATTGATTGTGAATCCAAGTAAGATGAAACTGTAGCCCACTTCACTATTTTATCCATCTGCTGTGATGTTGCCCATTGGTGAGGATTTTTGTCTTCTTGATGTTGCGATCCAATCCATTTTGAAGGCTGCATGTAGTTCACCCCACAGGCAGAGTGGGCTGGCCCCACCTCTTCCCGTTGTGCTGCGGAAGATCCCAAAGGCAGATCCCAAGTCCCTGTGAACCTGGAATCAGGCCCGTGAAGAAAGGGAGCTCTGTCCCAGACCCCTTTCCTGAGATCCAGGGGTACCAGTTCACAGGATGGCCCCTGCCCCTCCACCTGCTGGACCTTTGAAACGCAAATTCAGCAAGCCAGGCTTCCAGCAGCAAAGAGTTGTGGAAGTTTAAGTGAAAGAAAGAAAAGCTGCTGGTGAATGAACTTTGGTTGGGGATCTCTTTAAAGTTCGTCTTCAGTTTCACAGTTTTTCTTTCTTTTCATGAGTCAGAAACCCTGATTCAGAGTAAGATACTTGCCATCAATTTCACTCTTTGACACCAGGTATTGTGGAGGATCCTATGAGAGCAGATCAGAGGCATGTCCGGTGTGAGAGATGTGCAACCCAGGTGCTCCTTAGAGACGCGGATGGAGAGGCTTCATTTCCAGGGCATGTCGTCACGAGGGGCCGCTCTCTGGTGGCTCAGTAGTAAGAAGCTGTACTGCCAACACGCAGGCAGGAGATTTGAATCCACCACGTGCTCTGCGGGAGAAGGGTGGCCCATCTTTCCTGTGTGATTTACTGCCTCTGAAAAACTGCTGGATGGTCAGCTATCACAACAACAACAACAACAACAATAACACAACAATAGCATTTTCAAGAAGGGTCAGTCCTTGGGGAAAAAACATCATGCTGCGGAAGGTGAACAGTCGGAGAAATAGTGAAGACCATGGCCAGTGGGTTGACACAGTGACTGTGACAAGAGGCTGGGGCAGGGAGGGATGGTGAGGGAGGGAGAGAAGGAAGGTGAGGGAGGGAGAAATGCTGAAGGAGGGAGGGTGTGGGGGAGGGATTGTGAGGAGGGAGCAGCTAGCAGCAGGCAGGGTCTCTGAGTTGCAGTCCATTTGAAGGCACCTAACAACAGCGTTTTTTATTAGAAAAATGAAGTTAGAGTTACATTTTGCTTTTCAGAAGGCATGATTTTTGTAAAAAAATATGTAGCATGAAATACTTTTCAAAGTTGGGGCCAGGAAACGCCACAGTGTGGGCTGAGCTCCTCACACAAAGAGAGATGGTGGTGAGGTCAGTGCTCTGAGCCTGAGCATCGCTGAAGCCCGGTCCTTGTCCAGAAGAGACAGTTAATCTTCCTTCTGAGCTGCTGTTGGATTCAAACTGCCAACCAATGGCCACTGCTGCCGTTGCAGCCACCACTCCGAAGGGACCAACCTCGGAAGCCCACAGCCCTGGAGAGGCGACCCCGACTCACAGCAGGAGGCTGAGCACCTCCCCAGCGGACTCCGACTCCGATCCAGGTCCAGTGGACTCTGGTCCTGCGGATTCCGGTCTAGCGGACTCCGCTGTTTGCTGAGGGCCTGACAAGTGTCAATGCCTGTCTGTGTTAGCAGGCCTGTGCTAGCCCATCGCCACCACGACATGCACAAATAAGCAAGCAAGCAGAGCATCCGAAAGTTTACTGAGTAGAACGGTACAGCCACCATGGAAGGCAGTCCAGTGCTTTCTCAAAAAAACAGAAATACCATTTGACCCAGCAATTCCACCACTGGGAATATATTCTAAAGAAACTAGAGCCACAACTCAAACAGATGTGCACACACACATGTTTATTCCTGCATCATTCACAACAGCAAAGAGATGGAAGCAACCCAAGTGCCCATCAACAAACACATGGGTAGAAAAACTATCGTACATTCACACAATGGAATATTACACAGCATTGAAAAACAATGAACTCCTAAAACATTACACAACATGGGGGAGCCTGGAGGCTATCATGCTGATGGAAATCTCTGTTATAAAAGGACTAAAAAAGAAAAGGACAAACAATACTGCATAACATCACTGTTATAGAAGAGGAGGGGGGAGCGGGGGGGATTGTTGGAGAGAGAATGGGAAAAGAGTGGCTAGATAATGAACACTGAATTAAAACAGATGAGGGGAACGACTGTCCGAAAAGAAAATATATATATGATTAGGCCCTATGTGTATGGTAACAGTGTGGAACAAGGGGTACATTTTGCCGTGGGCTGGGAGGGAAGGCCTAAGAAAATCTACAACAATGAAGTTAAAAAACCAAAACTTAGGGGAGCTCTGGTGGCCTAGTGGCAAGAAGCTGCACTGCAGTCCCAGAGGCACATGGTTCAAATCCATCAGATGCTCTGCCGGGAAAGGAGGGACAATCTCCTTCTGTACCAGTCAGATCTGATTTGACGGTACACAGACACACAAAATAATAATAAAATAAAATAAAATAAAAAGAAACCAAGCTTTTAAAAACAAACAAGCAAACAAAACCAAAACTTATTGAAAGTGCCTCCTTGAGTCAGTGAGATGGCTGGGGTGGGCTCCCCCGGGCAGCAGGGGTGACAGTCTGTGATGCCCCAGGACAAATGTTCGGACAGAGTGTGTGCGCGCACACAGACACACGCAGCCCCGGCCTCGGATTTCAGCGCTGGCAGAAGATAACAATTCCCAGCTCGCCTTTCCAGGGTTATTTTTGGCTGGGTCTGTTCTCTGATGGCAAAAGGTTTCCTTACCCTCCCCCTCCCCCTCGGCTCAGCGCTGCTTGAAAAGAGAAACTTGTGTGCCCAGACTTCTCACTCCCTGGGCTCTGGGGGGAGAGGGCTGCCGGCAGGAGGGGACAGGGACGTGGGTGCTGGAAAGACCCCAATCCTGCTCCAAGTTCCACCACTGTCCTCTGGCCGCGGTGGGCCTCGGAGGGAAGAGAGCACAGAGGAGCTTAGGTGGAGCGCGGGAGGAGGTGGCTGGCCCTGGGTCCTTGTTTTTGAAGTGCCCGGAGAGTCCAGCTGGGAGCAGGCAGGGCTCGAGGAGAGACCTGGAGGGAGAGGGCAGGTTGGGCAGGAGAGCCTGGTCTTGGGAGGCGGGCGCTGGATCCCCCGGGAAGAGGGTCGCCATCACTGAGGGACGCTGTAGGGCGCAGGGCTCCGGCTTGGGGGCAACACTGGGGAGCAGGGCTGGGCGTAGACCCTGGGCACAGGACGCGGGCGCATTCAGGGCTCGGAGGTCCCCGCGGGCAGAGTTGAGCCTGTAGACGAGGGTCGGGTCGCTGTTACCGTGGGAGGGCGCAGGGCGCAGGACTCGGGTGCGGACGCTCCGAGGTCCCGGGGCGGAGCTGAGCGCAGAGTGAGGGTCCGGGTCTCCGCGGGAGGGCGCAGGGGGCGGACGGCCCTCAGGACCTGCGGGGCGGAGCCTTGCGCAGCAGCCAGCGGCCCGGAGGCGGCAGAGTCGCTCGGCCTGCGGAGACGCGGCAGCCCGGGCAGCAGGCGCCATGGAGGGGACCCCCATCCCGGTGCTGACGGTGCCCACGGCGCCCTACGAGGACCAGCGGCCGGCGGGCGGCGGGGGGCTGCGGCGGCCCACTGCGCTCTTTGAGGGGCAGCGCAACTACCTGCCCAACTTCATCCAAAGCGTGCTGTCGTCCATCGACCTGCGGGACCGCCAGGGCTGCACCATGGTGGTGGGCAGCGACGGCAGGTACTTCAGCCGCACGGCCACCGAGATCGTGGTGCAGATGGCCGCGGCCAACGGGGTGAGTGACCCCCGCGCGCCGCCGCCCTCCCACCCACCTGCTGGGGAGTCCCACCATCCCCAGCGCTGCCACTCTTCAAGGTCCCCTCCCCACCACTGCCACTCACAGCCTCCCTGGAGCGGCTGGCAGACTGGGGTTCGAGCCGCACCAGGAGCCTGGAGGGGACTCTGGGTGTGGGGGTGTCCTCACTGGCATCTCCCAAGTCTCCACGTCCCCAGGCGTCACCTGCTTGTTCTCACCATTTCTCCCACCCCTTCCCTGCCCTTCCCGGTCGCTGGGTCCCAGCTCTGGGTTGACTGATCTGTTCCGTGGCTTCCCTCTCCCCACCCTCCTCACCCCCCCTAACACGCGTCCCAGCCCAGCTTTCTCTGCTCCATTTTGCAATCCTCCTCTTCCCCCTTAACTCTCGCCTCTGCCAAACTTAACAGTAGGATTGTCTCAGGCCTCACGCATTGGTCCCTGACATATTTGGCAAGGGTGGACCCTGAAGGCTTTTAATAGCGTCTCCTTAGCCGGGTGGAATTGTTTGATGATTAATTCGATTAGGGTGGGATGGGGTGTCATCAGACACTGCTCTGAGGTGAGCTGATGCCACCCCACCAGGTGCGGGCTGGAGAGGCGAGGAGGCAGGCCGTGGACCTGGGACTGGCAGTGAGGCCCCTGGAGCAGCAATTCCCAGCTCCTCATGGCTTTAGACGTTCCCGTTCTCACTTCGTCCTCATCCTCCACTCCCTGCTCCCACAACCTCTGTCCAATTCTTTTGCAATCTGAGCTCTTACACTGCGGGGGTTTCCTCATGCCCCTCTTTCTCTATATCTTACAGCCAGAACTTTCAGTGTCCCCCCCTCCCCAGTCATCTCCTTTCCACTTGGACAACACCCCAGCGCCTCTCCATGAGGGACCCCTCCCTCCAGGACCCTCTGAGTTACTCATAGGAAACCAGCACCACTCCGCTCAGGCTTATTCATGTGCCAGAAGGTGAACTGGTGACCCAAAGATTAACACTTGGCTGCTTAGCAGGTCAGTGGCTCGGACCCACCAGCCGCTGGAGGGAGAAGGAGGTGCCTGCCACTCTTCTCAGGCCCCTCTGGTCACTTCTGACCGGCAGTGCCCCAGGTGCTTGAGGACACGCCCTGCCCAGTCCTGCACTGTCCTCATGGCTGCTGCGTGAGTGACTCACCATGTGACCCCGCCTCAGTGCAGCTTGTGAGAGTCATCTTCCTTTTCACTGACCCTCCACCCAGGCTGGTGCATTTCCCCAGGGACGGGTCCTTCTCATAACACATAAAGACCACAGCCTAGCGGACCCTGACTGGTTTGCTCAGAGTCAGAACTGGTCCATGGCGCAGGGCAACAATGCCAGACCCCCACGCAGCAAGTCTCTTCGAGTAAATGATCTGTGCATGTGCAATGAGTGGTTGTTGCGGGGTGCCGTGGAGTCAGAGCCGAGGTCCAGTGGGTTTTCAGAGGCAGTGAATCCCGCGGGAGGAGACTGTCTGTCCTTCTCCCTGGAGCAGCTGGTGGGTTTGACCTGCCTCCGTTGCCCCTCAGCGCTAAGCCCCGGGCGCTCCCTACGGGCGAGTAGAGCCAAGCGGTTATCTGGCATTTGGCTTCTCACGCCCGCCATCGCCGCAGCCGCTTTGCCTTCTCCTCTCTGTTAAGTGCTGTTCTCTGTCGTGTCCACTGTTCTTCCCTTTGAGGTGCTTCAGGGAAAAGGTTTTGAAAATGTTTTGTTTTTTGAATACTCAAAGCAGCTGATGGAAGCAAGGCTGGGGGCCCGCTGTGGTTTGTGACCCCAGAAGACTAATTGGCTCTCTCATTTGGGATTGATGGGAGTTGGCTGGGATGGGGACTTGGAGAGAGGTTGCAGAAAGGGCTTTTATCCCTGCCTGACAAGGCTGTTCCCGTGGAGAAGCCGAGCCTGGAGAGCCAGCGGCCCTCGGATTCCCATCCGATCCAACCTTTCTAGGAGCAGGGGAGGCCTCCCTGCCTGCGGCTGGCTGAGGGTCCAGCAGTGTTTGAAGATACAGTTGTTGGTGAGGACAAATCCAGATTACATTGATTACTTCCTACCACAGGGACTTTTTTTTTTAAAGGCATATTGTTAGGGTTAGTTTTATAGTCTAACAGGAGAGCAGCACAGGCAGGGAGGAAATGTGTAATGTTACCCAACTCACCACTCTGTAACAAGTGGGTTTCTATACTTTGAGCAATGGCTGAAGATTATCACAGGGACATTTTTATCATAAAGACATTTCATTCTCTTCAGTGAGTCTTTTTTCATAAACACATTTTTATAAACATTTTATAAGGTGTTTCTTTAAAAAGATAAATCCTTTGTCATGGAGTGATTCCAATTTAGAGCAACCTAAGTTGCTCCTTGGAGGCAAGGATTTTGAAGCTCTGTCTCACATACTTTGGGCATGTTGCCAGAAGGACGGGTCCTTGGAGAAGGACGTCATGCTTGGAAGGGTGGAGAAAGCGCAGGAGAGGAAGGCCCTGGATGAAGTGGATTGACACAGTAACTGAGGCGATGGGGTTAGGGGTGATGAAGACAGCGAGACTGGCTCAGGACAAGGCAGGATTCAGAGCTGTTGTGCACCGGGTCACTGTGAGTTGACGGCACATAACAACAACAGCAGCAGCAGCAGCGTCAGCTGGAGTAGAGCTGTCCATGACTTTCCAAGGCTGGGAGCAGAGGTGACCTCAGTGGGTGTGTTCAAACAACTGATCTTTTCATTAGCAACCAAACACTTGAGCACTGCACTACCAGAGCTCCTAGACTCTACAGGAAGCGTAATGCCAGGTTGTCACTCTTTAGAAGTGATGGACCATCACCGGGCTAAGATGTTGCCTGTGTCTGTCCTGATGTCACCCTCGGTGTTGTTGACCAGCCAGCAGCTGGTGGGATAAACTGTGGTGCCGTGTGAATAATGGCTTCTCTTCAGTCTTTGCCCCGTAGCCGCCATTGGTTATTGTTGTCAGAGCTAATGATTTCCTGGAAGCCTCACCCCTGCTGCCATTTCGTTGGTTCTGGGAAGCAGAGCAGAGCTGTGCCTCGTCTGAGGCCCTGCGTCTTTACAGAAGCAGGCAGCCACATCTCCCCGCTGCCCCCAGTGCTTCACCAATGCACTACCAGGGATCCTTTGTGATCTCTTTGGGGCTTTTAGAATGATGGCTTTGTGCTCTGCTTGCGGTCTTGAGGACTTTTCTCTCATCAAGAGCGATTTTCTATGTCCCAGTGGCCCTGGGACCACTCTGCATGTAGTGAAATGTGTTTGACTCTGTCTCTTTAAGTGACCACTTTACAGTGTCCACTTGGTAGACTGGCCAGCTTCCCCGGTGACGAATGAGTTCTGTTTGGCTGGAGTCACTTTCCTTCTTTTGAATGTCACTGCTGATGTATGTGGTGGACTGAGAGTTCGGATACTAACTATTCGCCCGTGATTGGGAGTTCTCATCCGCCCGCTGCAGGAGGCAGGCTGGCAGTCAGCTCCCGTGGGGGTCACACGGTGCTCTGGTTGGTGGGGTCTCTATGAGTTGGAATGGATTCTGTTGATGGCAGCATGGTTTTTGTGTTGTTCTTGTTGTTTATGTTAGTAAATTCTTGGGTTAGTTCACTGAAACCTGGCAGAGCCGGGCCTTGGGGGGCAGTGTGGTTTTGGGGTTTCTCGAACTCTCGGCCAGTAACTGGGTGCAGCTCAGTCACTTTTTTATCATTTGTTTTGGAGGAACATACTTGGGTTCTCTGCTCTGACAGGTCCCCAGCTTCCATGACTCTAACTTTTGTATTTTATTGTATGTATCAATGGAAGGTGTTAGTGAGTCACCGGGAAGATGTTTTAAATCTGTCTTTGTAGTTTTCATGTAGCTTATGTAAACTTAGGGACGCTCTGGTGCTGCGCTCTTAGGGCCGTTGCCCTGCCAACCCCAAGACCTTAGGCATTCAGTGGTTCGAATCCACCTGAGCTCAGTAGGGAAAGATGGGCCATTTCCACTGTAGGGTTCTGAGTTAGAACAGCTCCACGGCAGGGATTTTGAGTTGGTGTGAACTTATGTAAAAGGTCCCTAAGAATGATTTTTCTTGTTTAGAGATATGAGTGATGTAACCTCCGAGCTTGAAGTTAGTTCGTAAACCATTGGGTTTTCCTTCCACCATCTCCATCTTCATGACATTTCCAGTGGTTCAGAGGCTCCATTTCTCCCCCCACCATGGCCCTACTTTATTTTTTTTTTATTTGATATGCTTACTGTTCTTGTGTCTATTTTAAAAATGACACTAGTTTATTTACAAAATTCAAATACACTGTTAGAATTCAAGAGCGAAATCCAGCAGAGCAGTAAGAACGTGCTCCCGCCCGTCTGGATCACGGCCACGGGCATCCCCACGGTCATGAGCATCTGCTTCTCCTCTTCTCCTCCCCACGACTGCATTTAAGGGGCTCTGGTGGTCTGATGCCTGATGCACTGGGTTGCTAATCAAATGCTGGCAGTTCAAATCCACCAACCGTCCCACAGCAGAGAGGTGGCAGTCTCCACCCATGCACCCTTAGTGCTTCTGCCCCAGGGAGCTGTCGTTGGGGAAGGAGAAGTTCTAGGATCATTAAGAGCATCTTGTAGCCAGCAGGTCGGCTGAGCACTTTGAAAAGAGTGCTAGAGAAGGAAGGACTAGTGAGTGTTGAAGGCTGTTGAATTTTTGTCAATTTAAACAACCACACATTGAAAAGATGATGCTGTATTTGGTGTGTTGTTGTTGATGTGAATCGTTGAGTCGGGGCTGACGCATTCCGGCAGGTGTTCAGAGGCAGTAAATGGCACTGGAGGAGACTGACCATCCTTCTCGCTCAGAGCAGCTGGTGGATTCAAACCGTGTGCCTTTGGGATGGCAGCACAGCATCTTGCCACTAGGCCACTAGAGCGTCTGCTTTTGTTCTTTTGAGAATGGAGTTCTGCAGCTGCTGCCAAGGCGCCTGGTGGGGGGGGGCGTGCTCTGTGATGAG